TTGCCTGAGCCCGCGGGTTCGAGACCAGCCCGGGCAACTTGGCAAGACCTCGTCTCTACACAAATAAAAAATTAGCTGGGCATGGTAGTGCATGCCTGTAGTTCCAGTTACTTGGAAGGCTGAGGTGGAAAGATCTCCAGAGCCCAGCAGGTTGATGCTGACGTGGCCGTGAGCATGCCACTGCACTCTAGCCTGGGCAATGGAGTAAGCCTCCAACTCAATCAATCAATCAATCAATCAATAAAAGAATGCAGAGTTTGGCTGGGCTCCATGGCTCAGTCTGTAATCCCAGCATGTTGGGAGGCTAAGGCGAGTGGAGTGCCTGAGCCCACGGGTTCGAGACCAGCCCAGGAAACTTGGTGAGAGCTCATCTCTACAATAAATCAAAAATTAGCTTGGCATGGTAGTGCACACCTATAGTTCCGGCTACTTGGAAGGTTGAGGCTGCGGTGGCCGGGAGTGGCCACTGCACTCCAGTCTGGGCGACAGAGGGAGACTCCAACTCAAAAAAAAGAAAAAAAGATAAGCATAAATCCTCCCACTTTGTTTTTTTTTTGCATGATTGTCTTGGCTCTTTGGAATCCCTTAAATTTTCCTATGAATTTTAGGATTAGATTGTCAATCTCTGCAAAGTCAGCTGGAATTTTGATACAGACTGCATTAAATCACTTTATCAACTTGGGGCATAATGGCATCTTAATAATATTAAGTCTTCTGGTCCATGAATATGGGATACCTTTCCACTTATTTCTTTCAGCAACATTTTATAACCGACAGTGTAAAGTTTTATACTTCTTTTGTCAAATTTATTCCTAAGTATTTTATTCTTTGTGATGTTACTGTAAAAGGAACTGTTTTCTTAATTTCATGTTCATATTGTCCACTGCAGGTATAGAGCAATAAAAGTTTTTTTTTTGTTTTTTTTTTTAAATAATGTGGTATTCTGAAACTTGCCAATCTTGCTTAACCCTGATAGTGTCTGTAGATTCTGAGAGATTTTGTATATACAACATCAGGCCAGCTGTAAACCAAGAAAGTTTTACTCCTTTTGCAATCTGCATGATTTTCGTTTCTTCCCATTGTCTCATTGCCCTGGATAGAACCTAATGTACAATGTTCTCTCACGCAAGTGGTGAG